AATGTGGCAAAATATTTTTGGATAACATTTACTAGTATAATTTTTCCAATAAAACTAAGGAACATATGAAAAATATTTGGCCATGCATGAGAAACTATTTGTATGTATTTCAAGCTCAAAATGAAAGAATTGGAGACAATTATTTCCAGCTAATGACTCTCAGGTGCTGACAATCTTTTACCTTTTCCCCCAGCAAATGTATAGAATGACCCCAGATTTTATATCTTTGATATGTAATATCATTACTCTAGAATTTCTATTCTTATGTGAGATATTTGTCCTTAGAGAAATTACATTTCTTTTTGTCTTTGCTATATCTTGACCTTAAAATCACCATGATTGTCTTCAAAAGGTTATTGAGGTTATGGTTTTCATTGAAAATATTTGTTTTACTCTATCTACTATTTTGGGTTCTGTGTAAATTATCAGCCCAACTCTGAAAGAGTCATCAAAATCTTACATGTGAACTAATTACTATTACTGTTTTCAGTTTTGTATACAGTTCTTGAATAATTGAAATATGTGACTTTTGAATGTGGCTGCCTTCTAAATCACATGCAGCCCTTCTGTATTTGCTATTGTAGAAGAACTCGTGTTAAATTAGCTTATTGTTCACATCTGATCTCTCTTCTTTACTGTTTTATTTACCATAACATTGGAGATGCAGAGTAATTTGGACTCTTTGTCAGATGGTTTCTTCCAAGTGTCCATGGATGAGATAATGCATGTAAAATACTGAGCAGAAAGCCAGAAACACAGTAGGTGTTTGGTGAACACCACTTGTTATTATTGATTATTAACTTTATTCTTCTCACTGCTTTACCATCGCATTTTCCAGTTCTCTATTTTCAGTTATTCCTAAAATAATTTATTTGAATTTTGGCTAAATAAGCATTATTTCCTTGCCCACTTATCATCTTTAGTTGTTTATTGTTGCCATGCAACAATATTTTTATTGTTTATTTTTTTCCTACTATTTATTTTCTCCCTAGTATTTGCTTACTGGATACATACATAACTGGGGTGAGGGAGGAGAAAGGTGTTGAGAGGGGTGGGCAATATGCGTTTTTTCAAAAGTCCTAATGTTACATGTTGTAATTAAAGGTTATATTTGCTTGGAAAAACAAGTTAGTAAAATTATCTTATGATTCATTTGATGACTACATATTTTCTTATAAATTAGTATTATATTAGCATTAATATTGCCTTTGACAAACATATAAGGTTACATTAATTCAATCTTAGTATTTTTTTTTATGATTCATCATATTTGATTTTATAGTTGATACTTTTAGACTGATAGAAACATTAAATATTACTGAATGGAAATACTGTAGATCAATAATCTGGGTTGAACTGTAAACCTAAAATGAAGACAATACTTTTGATTAATTGTAATTAATTCATTTATCTTAGGTAGTAACGAAGGTCATTTTACTTTATCCAAACATATTTACTGATATCTATTACATACATGACACTATGTGAGAATCTGGAAAGGATACTCAAGAAGAATATGAAACATGATTTCCACTGCAGGAGTTCGGAATGAGTCACCCCAAGATGTGCCTCTGTGGGGTGGATTGTTCTGAGCTAAGGCAACCAAGACCCTGCAGGCTCAAGCAAAACTTCTGCACTCCCCCACTTCCTTAACTACCTAGAAGAATTTAAATTAGGAGCCTTGTCCATATTAAGAGATTATCACAGATAACCATTTTTTTTGACCCATCCATAGCACAAGACGAACTTCTAATTACTGAAAATCTCTTGTCATTGTCCTGCAATGACCTTCCTTCCGTCTGAAGGCCCAAGATGATCGTTGGCTCAGAATGTCATATATACATCATTTTCCCTTTCTGTCTCTGAACCTCTCATGTATGTAGTGTCTCTGACTCTCTCATGTATGTAGGGTTCCCATGGGTACCTGTGTATTAAATTTGGTTATTTTCTTTGTTAATCTGTCTCATATCTATTTGATTATTAGACCAGCTGAAAAGAACCTTCTCTACATCAAGGAACTGTGTAGTTCAGTAGACAATTTACCACATGGAGAAAAATGTCAGCATATATGCAAATAAAAAACTCTGTGGTAAAGAACAATTCCTAGTACAGTAGATGTGGATTAGTAATTCAAGAAAATTAGAGATTAGGTGGGTTGCTGTAGCCCACTTTCACCTTTTTCAGGTGAAAGAGGCATCTGCAGCCTAAGTGTATCAGTAGAGACTCTCTTCCCCCTAGCACCTGATTTAGTTCAATGTTGCGTTTGGGTATGTGATCTGAGGAGAATGAGGTCATTCTCATTTGTGGTACCTGGGGCAAGAGTACAAATGGAGGCCCAGATACCATATCCTGACTACTGAAAACTGACTGCTTAAAAACTAACTGTTAAATATATGTTCTATTCTCCTATTTTAACCAATGTGTTTTCATAATGATCTGAAAGGCCAAGTTCAAATTTACAGTTCATCAGAGTTTCACACTGGAATGTAGTGACATGGGGAGAAACAAGTTTCTGCCCACAGCCTACATTTTTTTTCCCACCCAGCTCTGCTCTGTGGCCCATGCCCCCACTGTGGCAAAAACTGCTCCTTGGCCACCCCCAACACATACGGTTGTGAACACTAGTGGTGCTGGCTGCTTGGACCCTGAGAAAGCCTATGCAGCTTCTGGAAGCAGATTTGGGGGCACTTGGGCAGGGAAATTCAGGATCCTGTGCATCCAGAGCATGGTCTAGAAGGATGGGCATGAGTTCTGGGTGGCCATGCCCTCTTGACCCTGTGGATTCCACATCTTTTAGGGTTTTGCGCAGCTGAAGGAGGGCCACAGAAGGAGCTCCTTTTGCTTGGGTCTAAGGGTAATAGTCAGGCTATGTTATGATTATACCTTGATCACCACCTGCCCAATCCCTTTATCAAACCATCACCCAATATTTTTAATTTGAATGTATCATTTGTTTCCTTCTGTGACTATGGCTCATACAGCTGATTCCTTAAGTGAGATTCACAGTATAGGTAAACGATGTAGGCCTTGAGGGAAGCTTTCACTTTCTAAACAACAATAACAAAAAAAATAGGATTTAGAAATGGAAGAGAATTGAAAGGCTATAGAATTTAACTGTCCCCACCCTACGCCAATATGTTTGCCCAATTTGGTATTTTATTTGATACAGCTTAAAGGCATTCTCTTCCTTGAAATTTTTCTTAATTTCACATCCTGTTGTGTTCCCTCATTGTTTAGGTATTGATAATGTACCTGCCATATACCCTAAGATGACTCCTCTTCCTATTTTTCTTTTATCAAACTTCAGTAAGATTTTTATTCATACACTATATTGTCAAGTTATTTGGCTTTCACTCGATGGGACTGCATCCCTTACTTATTAGATTTTCTCTACTTTTTTCTTATTAGCCCAAGACAATTAAAATAATACTATTTGGTGCTATAGCAATCATAAACACAATAGCAAATTTAAGCCCTGAGACTCCATAACAGTGTTCTATCTTCAGGGAGTATGAACCAGAATACAAACCAGAATATGTTCATATTAAAATTTTAACTCACAGAAACATAAAACAAAAATTTTAAAATAACTTTAAATAGACTCCCCTCCTCTCTGCCATCTAAACTTAATTTAAGAAATTTGGGTTTTTAGGACTGAATTGATGTTAGAGGTGAGAGAAAAGGAAAAAACTTGGTCTGGGCCACTGGGTACATGATTCAGTTTACAGAAATCAGGAGTTAAAAAAAAAAAAAGATGCTTTCAAGAGAAAGGATGAGTTTGTACAATCTCAATTTGAGTCTCCTGCAGTACATTCCCTTTCTGGTAGACTGAACTACAGATATAAATTTGGAGGTCAACAACACAAATCAAGGTCAACTACTGAAACCAAGAGACTAGATGGGGTCATTCAGGGAGAGCATGCAGAGTAAGAATAGATGGCCAAGGTAAAACAGCCTTGGAGAACACAGTTCCTGGAGAGTAGCAGTTAGCAAAGAGATGAGAGAAGTAAGGAAGTCAAAACAGGCTTGATTTAAGAATAAAGAGGTCAGTGTAGTCAGATACTCTAAAAGGTCAATATACTTTAAAGAGTTAATCATGTCTGATGATTAAGAAGTGCTTACCAGAGCAAGAGCAATTTCAGTGAAGCATAGGGGCAAAGTCTGATCACAGTGAGTCTAAGAGGAAAGAGAGAAATGAAATGCAGTTAATAATTCAAGACTACATTGAGAAAATGTAGCGAAAGGCAACTGTAGAGAGGGAATACTTGAAGACAGTATATGAGATTTGGGCTTTCCACTATCAATGAGTGACACCAGGTGGAGAGGAGAAGGACGAAAAACAGGGGGCAGCTTAAAAACAGAGATCCTTAAGAAGAGATCAGATCAAGAGTCAAACGAAAGGTTTCTTTGGAGTTTGGAGAATGGAGGTGGGTGGAGTGACAAAGGGTGGAGAATTAAGGGAGCTCACAGGTCACACCAATGGCCTTGGTTTTCTCCGTAGAATAAAAGAGGGAGAGTCCTCTGCGAAGACCGAGAAGGGAGAAGGTGGGGCAAATGACTTGAGAGAGTGCTGAACGTTTGAGAGAGAAAGCTGCTCAGGACAAAGTACAAAGGATTACTGAGAGGTGCTGAGGGTGTTTGAAAATGAATTTAATGTGGCACCCATCTCAAAACTCCCCCCGCCCCCAGTTCTGCCCCGCAGGGTGTAAGGCACAGAAAAGGCAGATGAAGGTAGACTGCTAACTGAAATTCGTATCCCAATGGCTCAGACGTACGGACACGAAGGCGTGTGTCCCAGTGGTGTGAGCGCTTACCACACCTTTGTGAAAGGCACCACAAAGGCCGGCGTGTTTGTATCATAAGACGTGTTATTCTGTAGCTTTGGCATCTCAGGCTTTTAAGGAAATCGAGCCATTTTTAAAAGAAGCGAGGTTGCGATGAGAGTCTCGGAGATGAGACGCGGGAATGGGTACTTTTCTTTTTACTGGATTCATCCGGAGGGAGAAGGGCAGGTGGCTGCTCCGGGTCCAGACGCCTCTCCTCTGGGTGGAGGAGGGGGCCCTGCCCAGGAGCGACCAGGCGGAAGCGCCACAGCCATTGGTCCAGCGGCGAAGCCCCGGGGCCCTGAGCGCAAAGTCCGCGACACCAGGCCAAGGAGGCGGCGGTCCGCAGCGCAGGTGGGCGCTCGCTGTAGGCTAGGCAAGATGCCCCTGGGGCTAAGGGTAAAGAAGAAAGCCAAATCCAAGGAGGCCGCCCGGCTGGTGGAGGGCGAGCAGGCGTGCGCCGGCGGCGGCAGCCTCGAGACGTCCGAGGAACCCCCACGCAGGCTGGTCTTTCACACGCAGCTGGCGCACGGCAGCGCCACAGGCCGAGTGGAGGGTTTTTCCAGCATCCAGGAGCTCTACACCAAGATCGCGGGCGTGTTTGAGATCTCGCCGTCCGAGGTAAGGGCCAGGTGCTCGGGCTCAGCCCCTCTCGCGCTCTCACTGCCTCTCCCAGGCGCAGCGCCGGCGGGAATTGGCCCTGGCTGCTTGAGTGGCGCTGCCTTGAGCCCCTCGTTGGATGCGGCGGGGAGCCGGCCGGGAGCGCCCCAGGGGAGGTGAGAGGGCCTTACTGGGAAGGGAAAAGGTAAGCTAAGGACCGGAGAAAATCTTATTCCCTATGCCTGAAGATCCGGCTTTTGGGAAACCCGGGGTGACCTTTTTTCCTTCCTAACGCGAATCTATATGCGTTAGTATTCCCAGATTCAGCTTTTCCGGGCCAGAGCGCCTTTCCCAGAGTCAAGATCTGGCTGGGATAATGAATACTCAGGACTTCATCAGGACTTTACTCTCCTATTGCCTCTGCAGGGGTGAGACAGCCACTCTGAGCATCTCCTAGATAGAGGGTAGGGAGGGAGCGAGAACGAAGTGCCTTCTGGGGCATACCACACCGAGATCCGCTTTGCTACTTATGTGTCCTGGTCCAGCACCAACACCGCAAATCCTTTGTGGTATTTCCAAGAAGTTCATTCTACCAAGGGCGGGGCGGCGGTAACTTACGGAGTTTTAACTACATGGGCTTAGTTAACAAAATTTTCACAGGGGGAAATCTCCAAATTTTACACCATAACCTTGAAAAGGGGACCGAAATTTGCCTTAAATTGACTACATTCGTCCCGAAACTGAAGTTCGATATTGGCGTGATTTAGAAAGCACTAGTTTATGTGGACATTTATGTGACCACTTCCTTTACGCTTACCCAAGGGAATTGCAAATGTGAGTGTAAGAAGTTAGCCCAAGAAAGTGTTTTGTCCACATTTCAAGGTAAAGCACGACATCATGTTGCCTTGGACTCCCCAGTGCAGGGAGCTGACTTTGAGTGGCATAGAGCGGCATTTGGATATCTGTCGTTTAATGTTGTTTATCAGGTCTGTTCAAGTGAAATTGAGGTCAAGGCAAAATTCCAAGAGGAGATGAAAGAGAGCTTGAAGTGTAACCTTTTGTTCTTTCAAGGTTCCCAGGCACCAAAGGGGCAAATCACAAACCTATTTTGTGAATTATTTATATTGCTATAGAGTAGTAACAAAACTTCATGTTTGTAACAGGACATTCCAATTCAAAAAGCACTTTTGCAGAAATAATGTCCTTTGATCCTCTCTAGGGCAGGTAGGTGGCAGGTTGTTCACTAGGTCCTTAAGAACAGGATTTGGATACTGGTAAACCTGGATGTGGAGCCAGGTTCTACCACATATTAGCTGTGTGGCTTTTAACAAATTTAACTTGCCTCAGTTTCAGCCATCTATAAAATAGAGATAAGAACATCTATTGTGAAGGGTTATTATAAAGACTGGAGTTCATATATAAACTGTAGGGGTTCAGAACGAGTCACCCCAAGATCCGCCTCTGTAGTATGTGGATTGTTTTGAGCTAAAGGCAACCAAGACCTTTTGGGCTCAAGAGAAACTCTTGCCCCCCTTAACTACCTAGAAGAATTTCAATTAGGGACTTGCCTGTAATGAGAGGTGGCCAGAGAGAACCATTTTGGACTCATCTATAGGGTAGGACAATTGTTGAACATCTCTTATTGTCCTGCAATGACCTTCCTCCCCTCTGAAGCCCCAAGATGATCCTTAGCTCAGAATGTCATATATATACCTCATTTTCTCTTTCTATCTTTGAACCTCTCATGTATGTAGGGTAGGGTCTCTGACTCTTACGTATGTGGGGTCCCCATGGGCATCTATGTATTAAATTTGGTTATTTTCTCTTGTTAATCTATCTTGCGTCTATTTGATTAGTAGACCAGCTGAAAGAACTTTGAGGATAGAGGAGTTTATTCCTCCCCCACAAAAACTATCAAATTGCATGGGAGATGGTCAGTGCTTAACAAATTGTAACTAATATTAATATCTGACAGTTAAATGAGGGAGCTGAGGTACAAAGCCAAGGTCACATAGCTAGAAAAAAAAACAAACTGGCTGTTATTTAAACTTGGATCTTCTGGTTTCTAAGTGAGATTGTTAGCGTACTTAACTGACAACCAATGTCCCTCTTGTAACCGAAGACTCCAGATTTATTTACTTTGCATTAACAGTCTTCCTGATCATAATATAACATTATTTTGAGCTCGAGATGTATGACTTTATTCAATCTACTTAACCCTTGAGAAGTCTTGTTATTAATATCCCTGCTTCACAAAGAGGAAACTAAGGCTTTGAGGTTTAGAAATTTTTCATAATTACACATAATAAGTGGCAGAGCCTGTATTTAAACCTTGAGAAGCTATATTGCTTCCTAAGTTTTCAATGGTGTCCCAGCAATAAATTTACAGCCATGTTCAACGTTTTCAGTTTTCAAGGCACTCATTTGCAAGATAAAATTTCAACATAATATAAACAAGGTGTTTTGATGTGCTATATCAAAGTCTATAAATTCGTATAACCCCAAATGTATATGCTTATTAGTATGTTTATGGATATAATCAACATTAATGCAAGTTTTCCATTTGGATTAAAAAGAGTTAAGTATATCCAGGATAAACTATTGCTTATCACAGTATAGTATGTTTTAAGTATCTCAATAGTTAATTTTGAAACAAATTTATTAAAATAAAATGCACATCAATGAGATCCCATTTCACATCCCATTCCTCTAACAAGAGTAATAGTGATATAAACTTTTGAGATGTCAGTGGGGACAAAAAAAAATTCCACTTAATAGGCTAAATAGATGATTAACTCAGAAGTTCTGCCTTTTCTCTAGAGAGGTGGCTATAAGGATATAAATAGCACTGTATGAAGAGCTGTACCCTCTTTACTGAATAAAAACGGAGAAGGACTTGGCTTGACTTGGTATCTGATGCAGCCAGTTCAGGCAAATTTACTGGTTGTCCATGATGTGCCCATGTAAGTCTCCAATGTGATCATTCCGTCTTCACCATAGCAGAGATGTAAGGATTCCTTTCGTTTTACAGTTGAGCTAAATGAAGCTTTGAGCAGCTTGCCAAGTGTCACTGAGCTGGTATGGGGCAGAGGCAGGATTTGAATCCAGGTTTTCTGGTTCCAAGTCCATTATATAGCAGCTGTGAGATTCTTGGTAACAGTATTCAAATTCCAATACAAATCAGGAAAACCTTTTTTAAACAAATGGCTTTTTCAGTTAAAGCCTCAGACTCAACCACAGAAACATTTGTGGCCTCAAAAAGATGCTATTGTGAAACTGGCAATTGTGGATTTTACCTATTTTCCCATACCTGAAGGAGGAAGCTTATGAAACCTTTGAATCTTGCTGGGTGCAGTCTGTGATCATTACCTTGAAACAGATGGCCAGTTATGCAAAAAAAATCCCTTCCAGCTGACATTGATTTTCCTAAACAACTAAGTGAGCAACTCAGTAAGAAGAAGAAAGAAAGTAAATTAATCTTGTCTAAAAGAACAGTTAGCTCATAATAAAAATGCAAGGACACTTTTATAAAAGTTTAATGCTATCTTTTAAAATATTTAGGTTCTATAAATGGGTCGATCATTAAACTCGAGCTATAGTCATAAAATTTGTCGTAGGGGCATTTTGAATAAGTGACCACTGTAGTTGTTTAGCAAGTAGTTTGTGCCATGACATGTTTTCTTAATTCTCTATTATGTGGAAAGATTGTAAGAAAAGAAAATGAAATTGAAAGAGCTTTTTAAGAAATCAATTTTGTAAATAGGTATTTTACATGTCCAGAAACTGAAAACTCAAGTTTCTTTATAAATTTCAGAAATTATTTCCTTTGACTTGGTTATACTAAATAGTTCATTGAATAAATGGATCAAGCAAATATAACCCTTTTTCTCTCAATACATGAAAGCAGTCAAATAAATAAGTGCACTTGAGAAGCAGAAAAGGTAATTGTGATTTTATTATTTTATTTTTTTCTATTTATTTATCTTTAATTTCTCTCAATGGTTTTTTTATTAAGATTATTGGGGTAACATTGGTTAATACAACTATATAATTTTCAGGTGTACATTATAATTTGACATCTATATATTCTATTGTGTGTTTACCACCAAAGTCCAGTTTCCTTCAGCTACCATATATTTGATCCCCTTTACCCACTTCGCCCTCCCCCAACCCCCTGTATTATACCCCCTTAACCCTGTTTACCTCTCCACTCCCTACTCTCTGGTAACCACTAGTCCATTGTCCAAGTTCCTAAGTCTCCGTTTGTCCTGTTCATTTGTTGCTTTTAGGTTTATATCCCACATATAAGTGATATCATGTGATTTTCAACTTTTTCAGTCTGGCTTATTTCGCTTAGCATGATTATCTTGAGGTCCATCCATGTTGTTGCAAATGGCAGTATTTCATCTCTTCTTATGGATGAGTAATATTCCATTGTATATATGTACCACAGCTTCTTTAGCCATGCAAATATCTTTTCAGATATGGGTTTTCAAGTCTTTGGGGTAAATGCCCAGTAGAGGGATTGCTGGATCATATGGTAGATCAATTTTTAGTTTTTTGAGGAACCTCCATACTGTTTTCCATAGTGGCTGCACCAATTTGCAGTCGCACCAGCAGTGTATAAGGGTTCCTTTTTCTCCGCATCCTCTCCAACATTTGTTATTACTTGTCCTGTTGATTATAGCTATTCTAACAGGTGTGAGATGGTATCTCATTGTGGTTTTGATTTGCATTTCCCTAATAGCTAGAGATATTGAGCATCTTTTCATATATTTGTTGGCCATTTGTATGTCCTCTAGGGAGAAATGTAAGAAACGTGATTTTAATTTCAAGTCCTACTTTATTCAACATAAAATCATACTATTATTTTTCTTAAAAACAAAACAAACCTTCTCCTGTCACCTGCCTTCATCCCTTATGCTGTTATTCCATTTCTCCCTTGTAGCAAACTCAAAAGTTCCTGTCTCCAGTGAGATACATTCTGTATCTCATCTTGGCTTGGAAACTCTCTAATAGCT